TCATTCAGTAAATAATGACATTTTTAGAGCACAGTTGCATTAAAAGTGCCAACTTTGCATTAAAAGTGTCACCATGTATCAAATGACACCCAGATCTCACACAGAAGAGCTCTGTGTGAGATCTGAATCTCACAACACATTACTAGATTCGTCATTACAGCCAGGATCAAGAGTGAGTAAAGCTCTCACCTCCTGTGTTGGAGAAAGTCTGGAAATCTAGAAGCAAATAATTCACTAATATTCTGGGAGTTTCACAAACTTGATTTGTTTTGGAGGAATGTGAATGTTATAAGTGAAAAAAAAAATTGGAGAACCAAAAGATTTTAAGACAATGTATCTTGGAAACATAAAAGAAACATGTTTTGAAGGAAGATGCGTAACTTGATAAAGATTCTGTTAATTGCCTGCAAAAAAAGCCACAACAAGGAACTGTTACTGATATCTGCTCCATCCATACAACGATGGCTGACTATTGTTCTGGAAAATTATGTGATGGAACAAATGATTTTCATTCTCAGACTAAAGAAACATCTTTGTAATTGAGTGGGGAAAATGGACAGTGTGCAATACACAAGAAGAGACTTTAGGAAATTCAGGACCATTATTCTTATTTGACCAGATTCAAGAAATATTACAGGCACTACAAATTTTGCTGGCTCATAAATTAACCCAGATATTATTCCAATAAATGTTAATAATAATAATTTCTAAAGACCTCTTAACACTTGAAGAAGTTTTAAATATCCAAAATAAATAACAACAATAGATAAGTAAATTATGAAGTCTCTAAACAAATTTGTTGCATCCTTGTCTGGGTATTATGTATGTTATCAGTGCCTCTCCAAGTGTTGACCTGCTCATGCCCTGAGTTAAGACAAAATAAAAGCAAGATGCAACCCCGCCGTCTACCTTCTGGTTCATTCTCACCTTTAAAGACTCCATTCCTGACAAAAACAGGCAAAACTGACAGTATCGACTTTAGTAAACAAAAAGTGCAAACTAATAACACCAACAATCCATTTAGGCAACTTAACTAGATGGCTTGCTACTCCTAAAGGGACTTGAAGGCTAAACTCTGTGGGATAAGACCTTGAGTCTAGCTAGTAACTAACTCCAGAGTTCACTCCTTCTTACGCAGAGAAAGCAGGAAGGTGACGTCAGTCGAGACCCGTGCAGCGGAACAAAGTAGGAACGATCCAGAGTTAGTTTCAGTTTTTACAGCTAGAAACTAGTGATCATGTCTGAAATCTGGGAGTAGAGATGAACCTTCAAAGTCACATAAAGACAGTTACAAAGTCAGCCTTCTGATGAACATTTCCACGATTACAGAACTAATGTTTAAGCAAGATTTAGAGAAACTCATTTATGCATTTATCTTTAGTCGCATTGATTACTGCAAAAAGGTTTGCCTAAAAAAATTAATCTTCCAGCTGCAGTTCATACAGAACACTGCTGCTGGTGTTCTGACTAAGATCAGGAAAATAGAGCAGATCAACCCAGTTCTAAAGTTCTTCCACTGGCAGAATAGACTTTAAAATACTGTTGTTAATTTATAAATTACTGAATGGTTTAACACAATACATTAAAAATCTGCTGGTGTTGTATCAACCTTCCAAACCTCTCAGGTCTTCTGGTTCTGCTCTGCATCCCCAGAACCAGAACCAAACATGGAGAAGCAGCATTCTAGCACCAGAAATTTGGAACAAACTTCCTGAAAACTGCAAAACAGCCGAAACACTGATCTCCTTTAAATCAAGACTCTAAGCCAACCTGTTTGAAGTTGCCTTTGTTTAGTACTAACTGGAACATTGATCAATACATCTGGTGTGTATTTGCTTGATGATTTGATGATGACATTTTACAAAATGTAATGTTTGCTGTTCATTTCATAATTGATAATTGTGTGATGTTTTAAAGCACTCTGAAGTGCCTCGTTGAAATGAGCTGTGCAGATAAACTTGACTTTGGTAGACAGAGAGCCATGAGGAAAACAAACAAGCATGCGGGTGGAAATGATGGAGCTCATTTTAATTCAACAAGCAATTAATGGATTAATTGCTTATTGTGAGAGGCTTAGATGCAAGTCAGCCAGACACGATGGAGGAGCAGTCTGAAGGCAAAATCATGGAACCGTCCTGCTGATGGTCATCAACATCAGCCAAAACCAAACAGAGGGAGGAAAGATAAGGACAACAAAAACAGACTGAAGCTGTTTAGGACAGGCGGGGAATGGGTTGGGGAGCTTCCTGCAGTTCATCGTGCTCTGGGGAGGTCAGGGCAGCGTGGAATGAAAACGTGTGACTGATCCACCACAGACGGAAGATCTGTTCAGACGTTTGCTCGTCCTATTGTGCATACGGTGTGACTATTTGTGACGCAACAAGACCACACAGTCCCTTTGGTATGTGGGATTTCCAGGTTGAAAATAGGCCCCACTGTGGGAGGGGGACAGTAGGAACAAACAGTGGGAGCGGAGGGGAAGGACAGCAGTAGCCGAGATTACAGAGTAACTTATAATGACTTAGACCTTTACAGTAACTGTCTCAGTGTTACAGCCAAGTCCTTAAATTGATAACAAACATAATTATTATGGCAGTGGGAGGAATCTTTTCATGTTGCTTCCCTTTACACACAGTCCAGCTCTGCATGATGTAATCTGAATCTGACTGCAGCTGTTCTGTTTCTGGCCTCAGATGTTTGTTAGAGAACAAACGGCATCATGGAAACCAAGGAACCATGGAGACACGAGAAGGAGGAAGTTCTGGAGAAGTTAAAGCTGCAGCATGTAAGTCTTATAGAATTTTTTAAATTATTTACATATTGCTTCAAACTACCATAATGTCATGACAGTAAGTTATGAGACAGATAATCTCTGAAAAGATTGAGCTCCCAGCCTTCTCCCAGTGCTAACAAGAAACAACCAATCAGAGCCAGGAGGCGGGTCTCAGCGCTGTCAATCACCCCTCCGTGTGGCGCTGCTCACCCCCCTTTCTTTATCCCCCCTTGATCTCTGCCATACTGCAGCTAGCACAGCCTGTTGTGAATGCTAAGGCTAGTTAACATTATCTAAGCAGTTTTCCTGTAATGGTTAGTTGTTTCTCCTCCATTAGCACATTTAACAGTGAGTACTTGAGGTTGATTGACAGCGCTATGGCCCTTCTCCTGACTCTGATTGGCTGTTTTAGACTGGGAGTGTTGCATTTCTTCTCAGGGAGGAGGAGTTCAATATTTTCACAAACTGTTATGAGGTAGTGATAGTTTTAACAAATGTGTAAAAGAAGATATTTAAAAAAAATAAAAGTGACATGCTACACCTTTAAAACATGGTTTGGTTCTAAAACAACATGAAAGTCTGCTCAGTCAGAGCTAGCTGCTCATCCATTGATGTCTGTAGTAGTAATCTGATAAAATGTGATTACTGATAATATGTGAAAAGGGAGCATGAACTCTTCTCTGAGGCACTTTGGTATCCAGTGCTGTATAAATGTGAGATAAACCAGGAAAACATTCTCTGATATTTTTGCAACTACATCATTCGCTCTGGGAAAATTTGGGCTTTCCAATAAGATCCCAAGAGCATCTAACTTCCCAGAATTTATCTCTGTGTCTCTGACTTGAATCACTGCTCTGTACTTGTTTATTGGCTGTCCCACAGAAATGTCTTTCGGGCTCGAGTCTAACCTGTGGAAAAAAAAAATCTTGTCTGAAATCTGCATAATGTTCGACCAAATGCATAAAATCAATGTGTTGTTTTTAATCCAATGTAATGCATTAAAATATTTTGACAAGGGCTGTCAACATCAACACCTTAATGGATGCAATTCATCTGAAAATTTTAACACGTTAATGTTACATAATGCAGACGGGAGTGATGAACAACAGCAGTTGGTGAAAGTTTTTGTGTGACAGCGGACAGCAACAAAAGTTGAACATTTTTTCCTTTCTTGTGTTGCGTTGCTAACCCGTGTGTGATCATCTACAAGCTTGACCTTTCATTTGCATGAAGTAGGCCAATCGCTGGATGAGGACAAAAGACAGTCACCTCATCGCACAAATTCTATAGGAAATGAATGGAGGGACATTTCTAAATGAGTGTTTAATACTAAATGACTTCCTTTAAACCTTCCTGAATACACAAACCCTGGGCAACTGAGAACATTCAGACATGTTTGGTTTGAGACAAACATTTTTAGAAAACGTGCATACAGGCAGTTTTTGATATGGGCAGTTTCCCAGGGCAGCATCAGAAAGGGGAGGGACACGCAAAAGCAAGAAAATAAAATATATCTTATCTGTCCGTTGTCTCCTGAACACATTTGTTTCTACCTGTATACATGTAGGGGAGGAAGTTTCCCTTGAGTACTGGGAGACTATATGACCTGCTTTTTGCTATAAATAAATAAATAAATAAATAAATAAATAAATAACTTGCATTTTAATTGGCTGACATGCAGTAGAAGGTGCCCAGAGCTCCATTCCTGCAAGATTCACATCTGTGCACATATTTATATTTCAAGCTTGCAAAGTTAGGCATAGACATCAACATCATAATCTCAGCGACAGAGAGTGATTAATCTGTTTAATTAGGATGAAGTTTCACTACATCCTAGCCTAGCAGTAAAACAATGAAGTTCTCCATATCAGACTTCATGGTATGTTATCAAGAGTTATCTGATTACATGGGGAAAGATCTTTCTATTGCGCTCTAAAAACAAACGCATGTGTGCATCCAGCAGTCACCAGGATAACTCAGGAGTGCATCAGCGGCTCACCTCATGAATCACCTGTTGCCCCCCTCGGCTCTCCAACCATCCACACATAAGTATGCCAGAAGGAAGCACTCCCAGTTTAACTTTTCAATTTTTTAATAATTAAAAACAAAACAAAACAAACAAACAAACAAAAAAAACATGGCTGACATGAGTGAGCGTTATTTAGTGAGCCCGAGGCTGTCAAACAGACTGAGAGCTTGTGTGAAGTTTAAAGTGTTTTTTACTCACCAGCTGTCCCAGGTTTGAGCAGCGGCAAAAAGAAAACAGCCCATAATACTAATGATGATGGTAATGAAACTCCCCGTGACGATGAGCAGCACTGCGGTCCGTGCATGTTACTGAGACTGCTTCTGAAAACGTTCATTCACGTAGACAAGAGAGAAGCTCGGGGAACGATTTCTGTGCGTCCGACCTGCTCTGCTCTGCTCTCTGCTCTGCTCAGCAGCTGGAGAGTTACTGTCTAACTATTTACACACACACACACACACGCAGACGGATGCTGCTCTGACAGGAAACCAGAGGAAGGAGCTCTCTCCCTCTCTCTCTCTCTCTCCCTCTCTCTAGGACTGTCTAGGACTGTGTTTCTACCCAAATACTGGAAATCGGAACGGTAAACAACTCGCAGCACACAGAAACAGAAAGTTACCAAGCAGTTCTGAATTCCACAGAGTTCTACACATCAGACTAGAAAAGGAGAGAGGAATATCATTTTTCCATTTAAGATTTCACAGAAGCAAAAACAAACAAACAAACAAACAAATAAATAAATAAATAAATAAATAAATACATAAATAAATAAATAAAAATACACATAAGAAACAAACAAAAAATTTAACAGCTAATATAATTCAGGTGTGAAATAGAACAATCTGACCTCTGAAAATAAAATCTTAAACACAAAGCAGATATTGAGCTGCTGAAATAAAAAGAGTTCCAGAGATCATCAGCGTAGACAGAGATGCTGCTGCTTCCTGAACCTGAACGTAGATCAGTTTTGGTCTTTAGATTGTTCAGACGTGGTGACACGTCTGAACAACTTGTACGTATGTGCAGTCATGTAGCCTGCGTGGGAATCTGTTGTTTAGAAACAAATTTTCCTCAAATGTCCAAATCCACAATTTTGGATCCTGAGTCTTAAGTGGGTTTATTGGAATTTCCTATTGTTCTGAGTCATGGCCAATCTCATGAATACTTTAAAACAACATCAGTTTCATGCTTGCAAGGTAAAACTACCAGCTTACTCAATCAGGATCACAAGCTAAGTTTTAGAACCAGTTTTAAATAAATAAATAAATAAATAAAATAGATATAGTCACAAACAAAACTTTGGACACACTGTCTTCATTTTTTTTACAATGGAGGTGAAGCTTTCCAGGAACACATTTCAGACAAAATTATGAATTATCCCATCACAGGACCATAGATAGTCACACCCATCACTTCGGTCACCAATCGTATCCAGGAAAATCAGTACAAAATTCAAAACTAAAATCTTAGGTAGCATACCGATGGCCACGCTAATGGCCACAAAACTAATGGCAGAAGTTAAATTTTTACATCTTAGTTTGTCAAATACAAAATTTCGACTAACTTCACCTATAAAACTCTGGGGGCTTCCCAGATTATTACTTTAAGATGAAGATTTTACCAGGCTCATTGAGAGACAGTGGACTTTTTAAATAAAATAAATAATTAGCCTAATGTATCTTCTGGTGTCCTCTTTGTCATATAAGAAAATTCAGTTGAATTCAATTCAGTTTATTTATAACACCAATTCACAACAAACGTCATCTTGAGGCTCTTTACAAGAAATGTCATTTCAGTTGAATCACACATACATTTCAAGTGGTTCTAGTTGTCAAACAGCACAACTGGGTTTTGTCTTTCTAAGGAAATCCAGCAGATTGCATTGAGTTATTAGCTGCGATCCTGTTACAAATGTGCGCAAAACTTTGTCAATATTTCATTAATTTCGCAATTGCTGTGTTTCTATTGAAGAAATAATGCAATGAAAATCACACGTAAATAAGTTTGTTCATGGGTTAAGCATGTAGTGACA